TGCACACATCCTGTACATTACCTTTCCTTGCTGAGACTAACCAAAATGGTTCCTTTCCCTCTCAGAGCACTGAACAGGGGGCGGAACCAATGCTTACCGCTGATGGACAGGAGGCCTGCCCTATAACTGCAAACTTTAACAGGAAGCCACCCTTCTGCGGAATCCAAGCCTTGGGCTGCAAGCAAACACTTAATACAAAGCAAATAAAGTTGGAGCTTCTGGTATGGCTGTACCAGCACAATAAGTCCTTGCAGGATCAAGTATTTGTGTGAGAAGAAAAACCTTATGAGTGGTAACTATCTTGTTCAGCTGGCTAAGTAGGTCAACCAGAAATCTTGTACCACACCCAAGGGGCTATAACTGTTTGAGTTTCTTTGAATACATTCTGGATCACCAGCATGGAGATGCTGATGGAGAGATTCTGAAGGAGAGCTTCTGGAGAGCCTTTTCTCTGAGGAGACCCATGGACAAAGGTTTTGCTCTGGGGAGCATTTTGGAGAAGCTACTCTGAAGGAGGCTATGGTGAAATAGCTAGTTTATTTTGATCTCTCATTTGCTGTAAGATGAAGATGACTTATTTTATGTTTCTTACAAAGACTGTGTAAATATGTTGCACTGCTGATTTTGTATGCAACATTGCCAATTTTGTTTCATCTCTGCAAAGTAAATTTTTTTTCTGTTCACTTTTACTATTGATCTGTGAGTCTTTTGCATTTGGGCTTTGGGCGCTGGGACATCTGGCTAAAACACGCGCAACTAAAAGGAAGAAATAGCAGAGATCTCCATTCAACCATCAGTACAAAATACCAGAAGTTTATCAAAGGCTTACCTCTCACAGACCTTTTAAAAAACAAAGGAAAAGCGAGACGAATAAAGTAAAAGTTCAGGGGCTAAATTGACTTGGACTCCAACAGAAATTGTTTACAAAGCATCCAGTATTGGCTCATCCTAATCCAAACTGACCTTTCGTAGTCCATTGTGACTCCTTAAATAATACAGGACAGCGTTGTTGTTCTTTTTTTAAAAAAACAAACCCAGAGGGAAATTTTTATTGTGTGCATACTTGTCCAAAAAGTTCTTGGATGCTGAGAGGGAACGGCATGTGTGGGACAAAGAAGTATTTTCTGTCCAAGCAGCCCTCATGACTTGTCACCATTTCTTAGAAGTAGCCAAGCACCCTTTCGAGGTGTGGACTGATCACAAAAATCTGCAGGTGTCACAAACCCCCGTGCATCTGAATGCCAAATAGTTGAGGTGGGCCCAGTCTTCCAACCAGTTCAATTTTAGCTTGCGTTACTTCCCAGGTAAGAATAATTGCATGGCAGATTCTTTATCGAGGATGCCTCAACATGATAGTCACCATTTCTTAGAAGTAGTCAAAAAGAAGTAGTCAAGCACCCTTTCGAAGTGTGGACTGATCACAAAAATAATTGCATGGCAGATTCTTTATCGAGGATGCCTCAACATGATTGTCACCATTTCTTTGGGCCCTGGATGGACCCAGGAGTTGGTTGGAGTAGTGTTTACCTCCCAACAGCTGGGCCTGGTAGTACAGACCAGGGCCCAAAGAAAGTCAGGGTAAAGTGGAGCCAGTATTTAAGAACCACCAGCAAACTCTTGTTGGCAGGAGGATAATAATAATAATAATAATAATAATAATAATAATAATAATAATAATAATAAACCTTTATTTGTACCCTGCTACCATTTCCTGAAGGACTCGGTGCGGCTTACAAGAGGCCGAGCCCAAATACATCAGTAAAACAACAACAACAATAAATAAATACAATAATAAATAAACTAATAAACAAGCAGTAAACATTAACAATAACACCACGATGCATTAAAAGAACCTATGGCAGGGCCAAATGTAATAATTAACATTGTTAAAAAATGCTGGACATGACCAGGTGAAATAGGATAGGTATTTTGAAGATAGGTGGGGCGTGCAGACGATCCTACATCTCTAATAAAGTGCATTTGGGACAAATTGCTTGGAGTTTCCTTATTCTGGGAAGGCACACTGGAACAACCACGTTTTCAAGCTCCTCCTAAAGACTGCCAGTGTTGGGGCATGCCTGATGTCCTTGAGGAGTGAGTTCCAGAGTCGAGGGGCCACCACCGAGAAGGCCCTGTCCCTCGTCCCTACCAATCGCGCTTGCGATGTAGGTGGGATCGTGAGCAGGGCCTCTCCAGATGATCGAAGAGATCATGTGAGTTCATATACTGAAACGTGGTCATGCAGGTAGGCGGGTCCCAAACCGTTTAGGGCTTTGTAGGAGTTCCGGGGATTCTAGCAGCAAGACACAGGATGGCACATATCCGGGAACTGGAAAAGAGTCCTCAAAAACTATGCTTGCTACTGGTCTATCTTAGATGTTAGACCACCAATTGAGATGCTGGAGTATACAGCAGATGGGGAGCTGTCTTGGCAGTAAAAACTTTAATAGCAGATGGTATATGCCAACCCCCTTTGGTAAAGCTAAAATGCAAAATGGCTGGTCTGTTTAGTTATGCTTTTACGGAAATAGAAGATATATGAGTGGATCAGGACACAGTGTGATGGAAAAGCAGCCACAGATATTGGAAGCTTCTAACCTGTTCTAAAGTATGCCCATTGAGGGACCATTGGCACGGGGATTTTTTTCCTCAAAAACCAGAACTTTAGATTTCCTGAAATTGATTTTTAGGTTATTCTGTGAATTTAGAAATTCACTGAGTAGGTAATTTAGTCCTGCCCTGGAGCATGAGATGATAGCATCATCATCAGTATAGAGCAATAACAGAAATCTCCTTGTTCTGAACTTGGGAAAATGCCCATTGAGGTCCGATAGTTTCTTCCAGATATTTTTTGTGTGTGGGAGGAACGACTTGAGAAACTGCAAGTCGCTTCTGGTGGTGAGAATATCCCTGGAAGGGAGTTCCATAGCACCACTAATTTATTTCTGGAGATGAAATCAAATGCTGATTTCAAGTTCATGAAGGCCACAAACAGCTTACCCTGTAATAATTTGACATATTTCTCAGGAAGATTAGAGAGCACTAAGCAATGATTAATAGTTGAATAATTCTTTCTAAATGCTGAACCACCTAAACTGGGCTCTCCAGGCCAATGGATACTCCACCTCAGACATCAGAAGAGCTGCAAGACCGAGAACAAGCCACGAGAGTAAAGATGAAGATCCACCCAGAGGAAAAGTGTTCCTGCCATACATCAAGGGAACCACTGACCGCATAGGGAAGCTGATGAGGAAACACAACATACAAACCATCTACAGACCCACCAAGAAAATCCAACAAATGCTACGTTCAGCAAAGGACAAGAGGGATCCTCTCACCTCTGCAGGAGTCTACCGTATACCATGCAGCTGTGGACAAGTCTACATAGGGACCACCAAACGCAGCGCCCAGACACGCATCAAGGAACATGAAAGGCACTGCAGACTACTTCAACCAGAGAAGTCAGCCATAGCAGAGCACCTGATGAACCAGCCTGGACACAGCATATTATTTGAGAACACAGAAATGCTGGACCACTCTCACAACCACCATGTCAGACTACACAGAGAAGCCATTGAAATACACAAGCATGTGGACAATTTCAACAGAAAGGAGGAAACCATGAAAATGAACAAAATCTGGCTACCAGTATTAAAAAACTCTAAAATTGCAACAGCACAACAACAGAGAGGAAGCAGGCAGGGACATCTAATTACCTCTCAACAAAAGTTTGCTCCAGGCACTCAGCCCATTGTATGCTAATCAAGGTGGTCAGTTGAAACATTCACACCTAGCTCCAGCAGACAAGAGTCCTTTGTCCCACCCTGGTCATTCCACAGATATATAACCCTTTTTCCTAGTTCCAACAGACTTCACTACCTCTGAGGATGCTTGCCATAGATGCAGGCGAAACGTCAGGAGAGAATGCCTCTAGACCATGGCCATACAGCCCGAAAAAACCTACAACAACCCAGTATTCAAATTTATGACCAGTATGTACATTGGGAAAATGTGAAGAACAAGCTCAATCTTGCCAGAGAAGTTAAAATTGATTTTTTTTGTTTGTTTTTTTTGTTTGCAAGTGCGGCTGGCGGGCACGAGAGACAGGGCCTTCTCGGTGGTGGCCCCTCGGCTATGGAATGCGTTACCGGTGGACATCAGGCAGGCCCCTTCGTTGCTGGTGTTTCGGAGGAGGGTGAAGACGTGGCTCTACGAGCAGGCATTTGGATAACTATGTAGTAACAACTAACTCAATAATGACGGCATCAGACAAGGAATGGAAAAGGATCTTGAGATCGGAATCTGATTCTAAGTATGGCGTTGATGATTATGTGTTTTGTTTGTATTGTGCGTCTCATATATTGTTTAGTGTTGCTTTTTACTGTAAACCGCATTGAGTCGCCGCCTCAGGCTGATATATGCGGTATACAAATAGAGTAAATAAATAAAAAATTATCTAGAGGAAAAGGAAGAACAAGGAAAGCGCAGGAACATGTATGGAGAAGCTGACAAAATGAACAACTGGCAACCATCCTTGAGAATCCAAGATAAACAGAAGTTCCAGCAGATTGCAGGAAGACAAATGTTGCTCTAATATTCAAAAAGGGAAAGAAAGTGGGTCCAAGCAATTATCACTCACTCAGCCAGAAAATCGTTATCTGGAAAGATTCTAGACCTGATTAATAAATAGATAGTCGTAAGCACTTTAAAAAGAATGTCATCATAACTAAAAACCACAGGGAGACTTACCTAGTGATCGCGGGCAAACTCATGAAAGTATTTAATATAATAACTATGGGGCAATTGTATGAAAAACTAATGTGTCCTAGTCTAACAAGCACTATGCCCTAGTCACAAAATATTATCCCTCAGATTGAATACTTTTCATGGGATCAACAGCTGTGGTAAGTTAATGAATACTCTGAGTCCTCTTTGTCGAATATAAATAAACATAAACATCATAATACTTTCAGCACAGAACTATTACACGGTCAACTCACCTTTAAATGATTGTCTCTCAAGATCAGAGTCCAGATGAATTGGAGGAACAAGGTAAGAAACTTGACCATGATGTATCTGTCCTGTGAAAAAGAGAGAGTGGATGCATTTCTAGTATTCATATTCAGACTGATAAATATCATAATTCAGTATGCAAAAATGGTATTTCTGCAATTCATATCTCTCTTTTTTCCCTGCACTTCATCTCCCATCCAAATTGCTATGACAACTATACAAAGAAGTCGCTAACAGTGAACACTGGGGAATCTATACCCAACTGTTGGTCTGTTCGCCGCCTTGAACTGTGTAATGGGAAACTATACAGCAAAACCTACTAAATGTAAAATGACTCATGATGTTTGACCATCCTGCGGCCAGAGAGACTAGCTCATCTAGGGGACCACATCTATCACAACAAGTGACAAAGATAGGGCCGGATGATGAAAACATAGAAATTGTCCAAGATTTTCTGAATCTAATATGGTGGGTACATTATTTTATTTATTAATTTATTTATTAATTTATTTGCCATATTTATATACCGCCCTTCTCAGCCCACAGTCGACTCAAGGCAGTTCATAAGGCAACAATTCAGTGCCTAACAACATCATAAAAACATTCAAAACAATTAAAAACATTGACATCTTTATATAAATAAAAATGTAATGTTTGTTTGTGGGATTAACAGAACTCAAAAACCATGGACGAATTGACACCAAATTTGGACACAAGACACCTAACAACCCAATGCATGTCCTTCACTCAAAAAAATTGATTTTGTCATTTGGGAGTTGTAGTTGCTGGGATTTATAGTTCACCTACAATCAAAGAGCATTTTGAACCCCACCAACGATGGAATTGAACCAAACTTGGCATACAGTTCTCCCATGACCAACAGAAAATACTGGAAGGGTTTGGTGGGCAGTGTCCTTTGGTTTTGGAGTTGTAGTTCACCTACATCCAGAGATCACTGTGGACTCAAACAATGATGGATCTGGACCAAACTCTACACAAATACTCAATCTGCCCAAATATGAACACTGGTGGAGTTTGGGGAAAATAGTGTCTTGACATTTAGGAGTTGTAGTTCACCTACAATCACAGAGCATTCTGAACACCACCAACGATAGAATTGGGCCAAACCTCCCACACAGAACCTCCATGTGGGCCACAGCATGTGGCAGGGGACGGCTAGTATAATATCAAAGCATAACAAATTCAGTAAACAAATCATTTTCGTCTCCTGGATAAAACGTAGTCCGATCTCATAATCCTATGTCTGTTACACTGCCTTTTCAAGCGCTTGCTCAAACAGCCAAGTTTTGACTTTTTTGGAATGTTAAGAGGGAGGGGGCTGATCTAATTTATTTATTTATTTATTTACTACATTTGTAGACCGCCCTTCTCAGCCCTAGGGCGACTCACGGCGGTGTACAACATATAAAAACCAGGTACAATTTCAACAAAGCAATTACACATCAACAATAAACAACAGCACTATCAATAATACAGTTACACTAAATCATTCGCCACGTCTCATCGTTGAATCATAATCCGAATCTCATTATCCATGTTCCGTTCTAATCGTCATTGCCAATTGTTGCAGCACTTACACAAACGCCTTCTCAAAGAACCACGTCTTTAGTCTCTTGCGGAATGTCATAAGGGAGGGCGCCACTCTGATGTCCACAGGGAGGGTGTTCCACAGCCGGGGGGCCACCACCGAGAAGGCCCTATCCCTAGTCCCCGCCAGGCGTGCCTGAGAGGCGGGCGGGATCGAGAGAAGGGCCTCCCCGGACGATCTCAAAGTCCTCGTGGGCTCATAGGCCGAGATGCGGTCAGACAGGTATTTTGGGCCGGAACCGTTTAGGGCTTTGTAGGCCAACACCAGCACCTTGAATTGGGCCCGGTAGCAAATCGGCAGCCAGTGGAGCTGGTACAACAAGGGCGTTGTGTGCTCCCTGCGTCCCGCTCCTGTTAGTAACATGGCTGCTGAGCGCTGTACTAGCTGGAGCTTACGGGCCGTCTTCAAGGGCAGCCCCACGTAGAGAGCGTTGCAGTAGTCAAGGCGGGATGTGACCAGAGCGTGTACTACCGTGGCCAAGTCAGACTTCCCAAGGTACGGGCGCAGCTGGCGCACGAGCCTAAGCTGTGCAAATGCTCCCCTGGTCACCGCTGAAACCTGGGGATCCAGGCTCAACGATGAATCCAGGATCACACCCAAGCTGCGAACCTGCGCCTAATGTCCCTAAGAAGGGCGTTCCATAACCAAGGAACCACCGCTGAGAAGGCCCTGTCTCTCGTCTTAATAAAAATAGGGATTGTAATCAGGAAATATGAAGTCTAGAATTATGTAATCACCGAATCTTAGAGTAGGAAGGGACTACAAAGGTCAACTAGTTCGTTTCCTGCCACATAAGGATTGTCTAACACCTTTGACAATAGGGACATTATCACACTAGTCAGTAAGTTGCATTGCTGGTGACCTAGACATGAATACAAAACATAGTTTACCTCATGATGCCATTTTTATCTTGTCCCAAACCAACCTTCAAGTCATGTCAAAGATGTATATTTAATGAAAACAATTTCACTCATTTTTGGCTTCTGAATGCGCTTGTCTATCAGCTTTAGAAAATGCATTTTACAATGCAGTAAGAGGAATCCAGTGTAACCACTCATTTTGGAGGATCTAACATCTGTGAGCTATCCTTCTCAGCTGCAAAGCAATATCACAGCCCTTTCTCCCTCACATTGTGATTGTTCTCCTTTTTAGTGGCAAAGAAAAAACAACCTCCTCGCCCCCCACCATCATCCTAATCATTTCTTTTACTTTTAAAAATTTAAATGAAGAAACTACAATGGTTCTTGCCTGCAAGCCATTTTCCCTGTTAATTGAACATTTCCTTCTCTCAAAGCAATAATACTTTATAGAACTTCCCATTCATGTATTCTTTTACCTTGCTAAAAAAGCTACAAAATTTTAAAGTGCATCTTTTGTTTACAGAATAAACACAATACCATACTACAATACAGAATAAACACAATACCACACTGGAAAGCATATTAATAGAGCTTCAAAACGGTGAAAATAGGAGCATTCAGAGGGTGCACATCCTCAAACCTATGCATTCTAAAAGTTGCAAAATTCATATCTAAAACAAAAAGGGTATGAAGATGAGGACAATGTGGATAGGGAGGAACCATGTCCCTGCATATGTTGTAAAGTCAGCAAGCTCAGAGTGCATACAAAAAGAATTATGCGACAAGAAGAGGGGCTAGGCAGGCCAAGATGGATTTATCATGAGAGAACCCATTTTAGGAAATGTGGTGATATTGACCAAAACAGTTCTTCCTAATGTTTTGGTGGAATCTCTGGACCACACCTGGAATATTGTGTCCAATTCTGGGCACCACAATTCAAGAGAGATATTGACAAGCTGGAAGGTGTCCAGAGGAGAGCGACTAAAATGATCAAGGGTCTGGAGAACAAGCCCTATGAGGAGCAGCTTAAAGCGCTGGGCATGTTTAGGCTGAAGAAGAGAAGGCTGAGAGGAAACATGATGAGGGTCATATATAAAATGTGAGAGTAAGTCAAAGGGAGGAGGGAGCAAACTTGTTTTCTCCTGCCCTGGAGACTAGGATGCAGAACAATGGCTTCAAACTTCAAGAAAGGAGATTCCACCTGAACTTTAGGAAGAACTTCCTGACTGTGAGAGCTGTTCAGCAGTGGAACTCTCTGCCCGGGAGTGTGGTGGAGGCGCCTTCTTTGGAAGCTTTTAAGCAGAGGCTGTATGGCCATCTTGTCAGGGGTGCTTTTAATGTAATTTTCCTGCTTCTTGGCAGGGGGTTGGACTGGATGGCCCATGAGGTCTCTTCCAACTCTAGGATTCAATTATTCTTCTTTTGTAATTTGAATCAATTGCTGTATATCCTAATCAGAGGAGAAGCAGCGAACAAGTTTGCTACTTTATTTTACGACGGATATCATGTCATCTCTCACTCTTCTAAAACTCTCTTAGGTTGTTTATCATAAGGCTTGGTTTCCATACCTTTGATCATTTTGGTCACCCAGCTTGTGAATATCATTCTGGAACCATGGTACTTCGAATTGGACAAAGTATTCCAGGTGAAGTCTGACCAAAGCAGAATACTGTGGAACTATTATTTATCTCAGTCTGGACAACAGAATCCTTCATTTGCCTTTTTAGCCACTTCATCATACTGTTTGTGGTCTATAAAGACCCCTACATATTTTCACATGTATCCTTTCAAATCAGGTTATCACCTATCTTATTGCTGTGTGTTTCATGTTTCCTTCTTGAAGTTAATTTTGTTAGTTCTAGCCTGCTTCCAATCTTTCAATGTCATTTTGAATTGTGTTACTCTCCTTTAGAATATTAGCTACCACCACCCAAACCTGATGTTGCCTGCAAATTTGATAAGCATGTCTTCCATTCGGTAATCTAAGTTAAACATACTCTAACCCTAACCCTAACCTGCTCCTCATAGGACTTGGCGTTCAAACATTGGATCATCAGTAGGTCAAAGCACCAATTTCTAGAGCGAGGCATACAGGAGCAAGATGCTTACATGAGTGCAGGACTCAGATTTCTGTTCCATTCTCTATTTATTTTCTACGTAATTCTGATAAAAATGAATGGTGAAAGAGCTTATTGTTGGGTCCAATGCTATTCAACATCTGCCAAGAAAGCACACCCAAATGCCTGGGAGTCACTCTGGACCGTGCTCTGGCCTATAATAAGCACTGGCTGAACATCAAGCAAAAAGTGGGTGCTAGAAACAATGTCATACAAAAGCTGACTGGCACAACCTGGGGATCACAACCAGACACAGTGAAGACATCTGCCCTTGCGCTATGCTACTCTGCTGCTGAGTACGCACGCCCAGTGTGGAATACATCTCACCACGCTAAAACAGTAAATGTGGCACTTAATGAGACATATCGCATTATCACGGGGTGTCTGCGCCCTACACCACTGGAGAAATTACACTGCTTATAGAAACATAGAATCAAAGAGTTGGAAGAGACCTCATGGGCCATCCAGTCCAACCCCCTACC